TTTTCAGCTCTTTTCTCTCAGGCTCACTCCTGTGCTGCCACAGGGACTCTGTGCTTCCTCAGTGCTCGCAACTGGCCATTTGACAACTTGTCAATTGACTGCTCAAGCACTTACAGAAAGTGATCTCTGCACAGATTTAAATTATTTATGATAGCAAAGTAGCTGAAAATTAGTGCCCCCTTACCAGGCAAAAGAAAATGTGACTTAACGCTTCACTAATTGCTGAGAAGGCTTGTGCTGGAAGTAGTCATTAATGAGACAATTCAATATTAAGCAATCATAGAATTTTTATGTGTTCACAGTCTGCTGGTGACTAATGATGTTTCCCAGTTCCACCACTGACTGTACAATCACCAATCTTTGGAAGTTTAGCAGCTGTCCATTAGTAGGGGAAGTGACAGGAGTAGGTGTAATGGATGCAAAGAGTTGAATTTATCTCATCTCACTTGAGACATCTCAGGTCATCAGTTGTAGTAGTCAACTGGCATTTCTTTTCTGAAAGAAATGTGAAAAGGGGTGTCAGCAGGCAGGAGCTTGTGGAGGTGTAGTTTTGTAACTCCAAGATGTCTTCACTGAGGTGAAATGAGTCCCACACAGAGGGGCTTTCTGGAAGAATGCTAAATGGCTTTATCAGGTGAATTATTTTGTGAATCTCCACACTGTTTGCTACCTTCATTCTCCAGCCCTGAGCACAGTAAACTGCAAATCCCAGTTTGAAGAGTGGGGATTTATCTGACACTAGTGATAAAAATCTGTTGCTGTTTTTTTTTTTATACTCTTCATGTGTCTGTGTTAATCTCTGTGTTTAGTCATCATTAGCTGCTCTCAATTCACAATTTTGTTGATTGCAAGGAGGGGTCTGCCTTCCTTGGCAATCTCAGTAGAGCTGCACAGGGTGGTGATAATCAGACCTGGGAGATGTTCCTTGTAGGCTGCAATAGAGGAAGGAGCTGAATGGGCTGCAGAAGGGGTAATATGTGCTCTCCTTATAGAGAGGCATTTTGGGGGTGCCTTTTACCTTTCAAATAAAAGACAGACTAATGGAGCTGAGGCTGTTCAGCCTGGAGAAGTAAAAGCTCCAGGGAGAACTTAGAGAGCCCCTTCCAGTGTTTAAAGGGGCTCCAGGAGAGCTGGAGAAGGACTTTAGACAAGAGAATCAAGTCACAGGACAATGGATTTGGATTTAAACCGAAAGAGGGGAAATTTAAACTAGATATTAAGGAGAAATTCTTTATTCAGTGGGGAAGCCCTGGCACAGGGTGCCCAGAGAAGCTGTGGCTGCCCCTGGATCCTGGGAGTGTCCCAGGCCGGGTTGGACAGGGCTTGGAGCAGCCTGGAATAGTGGAAGGGCATCTCCCCAAGGCAGGGAGATTGGAACTGGATGATCTTAAGGATCCCTTCCAACCCAAGCCATTCAATTATTCTATGAATGCAATATTTTCTTTCTTTTTTTTTTTTATTGTGACAGTTTTGTATAGTGGGAAGGCAAGAGGCATAAATTAAAACAAAGGGGATGCAAATGTGTTGAGACAGTCAAGTGTTGGATCAGGTTACTCAGAGAGGTTGTGCTGAGTCTGTTCCTGGAGATTTGTCTGGGTAAAGCCCTGACCTCATGACTTATCCATTTTGAGGAACCTCCTAGGTCCTCTTTCAACACAAATTATTCTCTGATTAAAAAGTTACATGTGTTAATACACAAGTGTTATTTTAATATGTATCTTATGAGCCATTGAGAAAATGTCAGTTTGGTTTGATTAAATCACCTGCCTCAAAACACAGAAACGTTTTTGGGGAAAGAGTAGAACAGTTCTACAGAAACTTTGATCTGCTATTACATCTTTTTTTATTCAGTTCTAGAAAAATTTGACTTCTCCTCTGGAAATTCAGGTGTAGAAAGATGCAACACAGCCCAAGTGAAGCACAGTAACAATCTTCCAAGATAAAGAAAGAAAGAAACAAAAATAAACAAGGTAATCCTGGCCACTCTGATGACACTAATTACTTTGGTCATGCTGAACACAGGAATAGTCAACAATTTCACCTTTTTTTATTACAGATGACAAAGACATAAAAACAAATAATTGAGAGCAATTTCATTCATTAACTGGGATTGAATTGGGGTAATTGTTATAGCAATAAGAGGAGCAAAAATATCTTTGACAATAACCTTGTTTCTTGGTCTCTTCACAATGAGTATTCCTAAAGAGGAAAACACATTTGGAAGAAGGTATCCTTACTTTGGAAATAGATCCAGCTACAAATTTTGGAATTTGAGAAATAATTCATAGAAAGTATGTTTGACAGCTGGTAGAACAAATAATAAATGCTTTTTTGTTCATTTATTTGTGGTTTTTAATTTAAATAATTATTCTTTGGTCACGGTGAGTTCATGGTCGGTGTTTGGTCTTCAGGAAACCCAATGATAAAAAAAATTTAAATTTTCAAGAAGTATTAAATATCACACGGTTTTGTAAGTAGTCTTGAGAAAAGGCCAAAATGGCACTTTGTTTCTTCTGTGACATAATGGGGGAAAATGACTTTCCATTAACATTTTTTTTCTTCTTTAGGTCAAATTGCTCCATTGATACCTGGTCGCATAAAAACTAAATACATCTCAACTGTCTTTTGTGTGCTACCCTCCCTGAGACTATGAGTAACAGAAATTATTTTGGGGATCTTTTTAGACACTTGAATGAATCAGGGACATTTTTTTCCCAATTTCTCAATTTCTAATAACTGTTGGATTTTATTCAGCATTAGGCTGATTAGCTCAGAATTGCCCATGGATGAAAAGTGTAGTTTTAGCCTTTTGCTCCATGGCTTGCAGCTGTTCTCATGGAAATTTTGCTGCTGACATGTGAGACAACCAGCTCAGGGCTTGATTTCCTTCCCTTAATGTCTGAAAAATTAATTTTTCCATAATTGTTTGAAGCAATTTATAAAACCACCAGGAAAGAGATCCGTGCCTGGTCTCCAGCTCTGGCAAAGGAGTCCAGGCTCTTTGTGCTCTTGTGCTTCCTTCTAATTCCACATCCTTGGCTTTAGCCAGAAAACCTCTTGTTTTCCTGGAATCTCCTCTATCCTGGAATAGTCTTGAGTGAAAATGGTGTGAGAATCAAAGTTTCTTTTCTGGAAGGTCACAAGATGGTTTCATGGAAGGGAAGACATAAAACCACAATGAAATCTGCAACACAGAATTTTAATGGTGAACTTTTGAGGTCAGGTAAACTTATATGGAAGTGGAGGGATGGGTATGTTTGGAAAACTTGGCACAAAGCCTAATAAAGTAATTATTGTATTCCCTCCACGCATTGCACAGAAATTGCATCTTTTCATGCATCATTCACAGCTCCTACTGATACCCCAACATCTAAATTACACTGAACATCAACAAATCAAACACCACCTTCAAGTCCAAATGAAGGCTTGAAATCTTGCAAGGTGATGTTGTATTTTTTGTTTTTCCTGTAATAATACACACAGCTTCCAGACTGTTAACCTGATACTGAAAAGTAGAGAATAATGAGTATTCTTGCCTGACTGTCCTATTTCTCTTCCAGAAATGATGCTAATTTGTGCTGGGAGGAAGGGTTATTTCTCATATGCATAATTTCGTGTGCTGCTTTAATGGGAGAGGCAGGCAGACTGCAAAAATGGAGCAATTTCACTGCAGTTAGTTTGTCACTGGCCTCCAGCTGTTGTTCTCATAGCAATGGTTTCCTACAGCTCAGCAATGTGAGGTCAACTGAAATCATGTTGTGTCTGGGGAGAAATGAAAAGGCATTGCGTGGCTGGGGAAGATACAGGCAGTCAGCACACACAGAAAAAATTGTTTACAAAGTAAAATAAAGCTGCTTGGTTCAGGCTGTGTTTTCCTGGGGTGTTCCATGTAGCGTCTGGAAAGGAAAGGTGGAAGAACAGATGTTCAGGCAGGAGGATTTAAATGTCAAGATTAAGCTCTCATTGCTGTTTTGGAGTCAAATTTGAAGCATACTTGAAGGGGTGGTGGCAGCTTCTAAATGAAAAAACTGAATGAAAGAAACCAGACTGTGTCTCTAAAGTGATCTTCACCTGTGCCTGCTCAGCACTGACCCACCCCAGGGAGAGCCCTCAGCCAGGTGGGATCATTGCACAGTGTGCAGGTGGGGCTGCACTGGCTCAGGAGATCCCTGACCCTTTACTGAATTAACAGTGTCTTCCCAGAGATCATAATAAAAGAAAATATTTTAGAGAAATGTCCTTGCAGAGCCAGCACTCAGGTTGTGTTTAGTGGATGGCTTCTATCCAAAACCTGGCCAGATTTCTTAATCAAAAAAGCAACGTGGGTTTTTTTCTAGTCTATTCTCTCATTTTTGTTCTGAGAGGAAGGCAGAAAAGATAAACTTTGTCAGATCAAGCATTTCTGTGCTCCATGTCAGTCAGTACTGACTCTGTGGGTGACAAATGAAATCCTCCCGGATGCTGCTCATTCCTGTGCTGGCTCCACCAGGATGGACTTTCCGTCTGAGTATCCCCATCTGCATTAGTAAATTCAATACCTGAATTTACTGTCCTCCTGTTGCTGACAGCTTCCACACATTTGATGGTGCAGTTTGATGGATTTTACTGTCCCTTTTCCAAATATTGGGCTCAACCAGAAGAGTAGGGCTTTTTTTCTGAGCAGCTCAAGAGCATTTAGGATAATGTTTATCTTAAGTGAGGTGCTCCAAATACACTCCTAAGTTTATAGAGGTTTGCTCACATCCTATCTGCACATATAATTAGAAAAAATACTGAGAAGGCTCAATGAAAAGGGTATTTATCATATATATCATATTATATTTTCTTCTTTTTTTTCTTCTTTGTAGAAGCTGATGGTTTAGAAAGTTGATGTTGTTAGCCATGCATGGGCAAATAGTTGTTTCATTTCCATAACTTCCCTGTTTTGGAGTTACTTGACTTCCTTTCTACTTGTTTCTATTGTTTGGACAGAACTAGTGACAGGAAGAGAAGGATGAAAAATGGCTGAATTCTTGCTACCTGGTACCAACAACTTCCGTAGGTTCACTCAGGAATCCTTGGCAGCCATCAAAAAGAGAATTGCTGCCAAAAAGATTTGTAAAAGAAATGCTACAGAGCAGAAATCTAAGGAGAAATCACGTCCTCAGCTTGACCTAAAAGCTTTCCAGAAGTTGCCAGCTCTATATGGAAATCCTCCTCCAGAGCTCATTGGAGAACCACTGGAGGATCTCGACCCGTACTACAAAGATCATAAGGTTAGAGCCAACCAAGATACTTGGATCTTATTTTTAATTAATTTAATTTAATTTATTGTATCACCAAAAGTTTCCATGGGCAATCTATCAGAGTTTTGCTTACACCTCTTTATAAAACTCTCATCCCTTTCTAGGTTAAACAGCTGAATGATGCACTGTAATATTTTTTAAAAAAAGCTTAACTTTCATTTTTAAGAATGAAATAATATGAAATCAAATAGCATTTGAATCAGAATAGAAGCAGAAAAAATAAACTGGATAAAGGAAGAAAAATGTGGGAGTTGAGAGAAATTATAATAATTGGAAGTTATAGTAATTTTGTACATTTTGTACATAATTTTGTATATTTTCATAAATTCCATAGTTTTGAACAACGTGTTTCACTCCATCTCAATGTTTTTGTTCCACTTACACACAAAATAAATGATATTTAAAATAAAAATTACTTTAAAACAATGCTGATGAATCCTTACAACCTCCTGACTCAATCTCCATATTTCGGTTTTGACATATTGAAGAATATGATTTTCAATAACAAACAGAGAAATGGAAGCGAATCCATTGGGAAATATGCTTTTCACTTGAGAGGAGGTTAAACACTGAACCAATTCCTACAGTCCAAGAGCTAGAGGATCACTGTCAAAAATAGCAAATAATGAGAAGGCTGCAGTTCTTCCTTGCACCTCTTGTATATCTTGACTCAATGAGGGGCTCATTCTATTTTAAGAGAATGATCAAAAGCAAGATTAGATCTGTGCACAGCTCCTTGCAAATCACAAGGCTGAAAAAAGAAGTTTCTGCTAAGGAATATTTTGCTGCCTGACAGTTAAAGTTTCTGATGGATAACAAATTTACACAGCCTTTCCAGTTAACCAGGCTAAAGTGAAATTCTAGCTTTTGCTCATGACTGACACGACAGGATATAGCACAAAAATATGTTCTGTGTTCACTTTCTGACAAATTCTTGTTTATTTATTTTTAAAAGGTTTTCATAGTGCTAAACAAGCAGAAAACAATCTACAGATTTACTGCTACACGTGCCCTGTGGATCTTCAGTCCCTTCCATCCAATACGAAGAAGAGCAATTAAAATTTTAGTGCATTCATATCCTTTTATCAGCTTTATTCACTCTTTTTGGTTATAAAACCCTGAAAAATCCTGTGTTTTTTTTATTTTAGAGCATTGAGTTAATCTGGTCTTTTCCTCACTACAGATTCTAGTTGTGAATTGCCTTAGATATTATTAGTGTTTTGGTGCTTTTGTTATTTTGATATTTAGAAATAAATTTTGTGAGTATTTGGCTTATTTAGCCTGATTTTATACAGATTTGTGTTTTGAGCTCTGATATTGATTTCCTCATGTGTCATAAACAAGTATCTCATTCTGAAGCCTCTCCCAGGGAGAAGATTGATAAATTCTACATCCTCTTTTTCATCTTCTGCTTACCCAAAGGTGGGAATTAAATTCAACTCACATGCCAAATCTAATCAACCATTGGCCAGTTTTGAGAGGAAAGGCTGAGATAGGCAAGCACACACAGGAAAACACATAGAAAAAACCCATGCAAACAGTTTCTTTGGGAAATAAGATTCAAAAAGTGTACATGTGGTATATGAAAGTAAATATTTACGGAAATGTTGTTGCAGGGAATGCCTTGGGAATATAAAGGTAATATCCCACCTCATATATCAAATTTAGGGTCTGGGAATCACAAGTGTATTGTTCCAGTTTGGCACTGGAGAAGGACACCTGAGCTTGGGGAATCAGACCCAGAGTGGAGTCTGTGATGTCCCTGTGTGGATTTCAGATTTCCAGCCATCTGCTGGCTCTGTGGTGTGAGGTAACTTCAGTGACTCGAGGTTGTCATCGTAGCAGTGTGCAGACATCCCTGGAAGAGCCATGCCTCTCATCTGGGGCTTTCTTTGGGCAGAAGTTGGCTGACATTGGCATGTCCACGTGAGTGGCCCAGCTCCTTCGACAGCTGGACCAGGCCTAGAGTTAAAGCCAGGAATTATATTCTTTCTGGGGATGGAGAGGATGGACAGTGGCAAAGATAGATGTCTTCCCATACTCTTCTACCCTATGGATTACCCACGTGTGGTACAACAAGGTATGAGATCCAGCTCCAGAATCATGTGCTTGAGCTTGGGTGTTAAAGTATGAGGTAGCTGCCCAAGCTCCTGTTCTCTGGGCCAGCAGATGGCACCTGAAAAACCCCTGGGGCTGGCTAAACGTGGGCATCACATTATAAAAACCCCATTAATCTATTAGAGAGCATCCAAAGCAGGGCTATGAGGATGGTAGGTGGTCTGGAGGGGAAGCCAGATGAGGAGCAGCTGAGGGAACTTGGTGTGTTCAGCCTGGAGGAGACAGGGGAGACTCATTGTGGTCTCCATCTTCCTTGTGAGGGGCTGTGGAGGGGCAGCCCTGATCTCTTTGCTGTAGTGACCAGTGACAGGACTCAAGGAAACAGCTGAAGCCAAGCCAGGGGAGGTTTAGGTTGGATATCAGGAAAAGGTTCTTCACCCAGGGGTGGTTGGGCACCGAACAGACTCCCACTGAACAGACTCACAGCACCAGCCTGACAGAGTTCAAGAAGCACTGAAACAATGCTCTCAAACACAAGGTGTGACTCTTGGGGTGTCCTGAAAAGGGCCAGGAGATGGCCTTGATGATCCTGGTGGGTCCCTTCAAACTCAGCATATCCTATGGTTCTGTGACCTAGAGTTGTTTGAGACTGCTGCAATCACCCTGTCAGATTTCGTGCTGTCTTTTGGAAGAGAAGAGCTTTGCCAGGTCAGAGGCAGGTTTGGGCTCCACCTGTGTGATCTGAGCAAGTGTTTAACTTGTATGCCTTAAAATGAAACTGCAATTGCATCCTTGCACGCAATCCTAGAGAGGTTGAGGGTCCTTTTTCCAGGCTGGAAATGCTTAGAGAAGCAGATCTGTAATCAATACAGAAGTCTGTGAATAACAGCAGTAGTGTGTTGTCATCCAACATGGCTCAAAATCAGTAAATACCTGTGCATGCTCTTCTTACATGTGCTTTAAACAAAAAGCCAGAAAATATGCCAGTGACTGATGCAATATTTAGTTACATTTCTGAATCCATGTTGTATTCTTTGCCTTCACTCCCATGACTTACATTGTTCACCTGGTTTATCATGTGCACCATTATAACTAATTGTGTATTCATGGCACTGTCTGAGTCATCTAAATCTTCATCTTCATGGAACACATATGTTGAGTAAGTATCTGTGGGTATGTATATTTTTTATTTATGTAGTTTTATTGAGTTATTGAGACTTGACACTTTCACTTGAGATAGTTTGTGGGAGATTTAAAAGGAAAGTTGCTTGTCTTAAGGGAGTTTTTTAATTTAGTTTTATTTGAGGAAATAGTTTTGTCTTGAAACACAATATATACAATAATTTTAGTGTTATAGGAGAGAGTAAGTGTAGATTAAATTCCACTGTTGAACTGTCTTTATGTCTATTCTGTTGCTCCAGTTTTCCAACTTTCTGAAGTTACTCAATTATTTGTTCTGTATCAGGATGCATTTCCTGTTGTTACTGATGCTGGTTGAGCACATGGGAGTTGCTGTCTTTCAAAATTCTGGTTAATTATATTGAAATGATGAGTTTTGCTCTAATAAAATGTTCTGTCAGAAGCACTTGGCCTGCAGAGTGCTGTTAGAATGTAAATCTTTTATCCTCAGTGCTGCAATGTTAAATCACAATAAATCCATATTTAGTAGTCATTATTGAAATGTATAATGCCATGGGTTGTTGGTTTGTTTTGGTTTTTTTTTTTTTTAGAGACTATTTCAGCTGTCACTTTTTCACTTTGGCAAAAATGTTAGAATATGAATATTGATAATTCTGACACCTAACACAAAGGAGAAGATTCCCAAATACTTAGTATTAAAAACAGTTCTAAATTATTCTCTTTTTATTATATCATATTAAATGACACTGAAACAACTTGGAATGGCAAACTCTTTCAAAAAAAGCAAGAACAAAGCTCTGCATGGTATTAAAATACACATCTCCAGAAGATGCTGTGGTTCTTCTCCACCTATGAGAGAGTTAAAGGCTGTAACAGAGTTGTATCTGTTGTTGGCATCAACTACCACTCAAATGCATTTCAAGAATAATTTCAGAATACTTCTTTCCAAATAAAAAGGGAAGCACTACATCCATATAATTTCTTAGTGCATTTGCTGACTACCAAATGAAAGCCTTTTGAATTCTGTAGGGATGTCGCTGCCTTCTTGAAATTATAAGTGCACTCAGTTAAGTCCAGAAGAGCTTTTACTGATAATTTTCCATTAATAAGAATAATTGCCATCTTAAATTGAAAACCCTCCACTCTTGTATTCCTCTAAGTGTTTTAAATATTCTGCACAGAAATGGTTGCTGTGTGCCCAAAGGAAATAACAGAGAACATCACACATTCACTTGGCTGCTTGAAACTGGAGGAAGATAGAAATTTGGACCTTTATTTTAGCTAGTAACTGGGAATTTGGTGTTTCTGAAATTATGGGCACTCACATGAAAGAATTTGGAAAAAAATTCAAAATGTCAAATGCCAAAAAGTGTCTCATGGGTTGCACATTAATAGTCACGTCCAGATTGCAGTCAGCTATTGTCTCCAGCTCTGTGTGAACCAGATACTGTTGGAATGCACAGAAATCCAGCAGAAATCTGTTCTCTCCAGCATTGTCTCAGCTTTCTTCCCAGACATTCAATAGTCTGTGCCTCTTGATTTGGGTGCTAACACCGTTCTTTCCCTTTGGCTCTTTTCTCCCCTCCTTAGATTTACTTTCACTGGCATTTACACTTTTGAATCATTGATAAAAATATTGGCGACAGGATTCTGTCTAAATGAATTCACTTTCCTTCGGGATCCCTGGAACTGGTTGGATTTCACCGTTATCGTCATGGCGTAAGTGGGAACAAATGAAATATGGATCATCTGCCTCGACTCCGTGCTGCAACTTCTCATTGCTGTGGTGCAAAAGGCTGTCTGTGGTTTAAAAACCAACCCATGGCTCCTAATTGCACCTGAAACTGTCTAGAACATTGACCTTTCCCCTTGTTTAGCATTCACTGTTTTACAATGATGTTTTAATCTTTCAAGAAAGGAATAGAGCTGTGCAGGACAAGATATTCCCAGTGGTGGATATATGTGAATGGATGTGTTTATACTGGTGAAATGTAAAAGTTGGGCATAAAAACAGACTTTGTGACCCCATGAATGAAAGTATTAATTTGCAGTTAGGGTGATGGGTATAGACACCAGGATAGTAGATTAAATTACGATTATATCCCCAAAAATCATAGTTAAAGTCTAATTTTCTGGTAATTAACAAGCTTCTATATACTGGTTAAATGCAGCTACAGAAAGGAGATCAAACCAGCTCAGCCAGCATTTGTAAATTCATAATTTTGAGCGGTACCTTTGTATTTTAAATGAATTATGTTTAAAGATGCTCACACAAAAGCAGCTGTACACAAGCCAGGAGCCACCTCAGAGGGAAACTCAAATAATTAAGAAATCAATTTTTATTTTATGAGCTTTCAGAAAAAAGCCTTGATATGTAGTTTTTTAATATTTAAAATACACTTGGAAAGATTGATATCCAAGAATGATCACTGTAAAAAACTGCCCTGTTAACTCTGCTCAACCACTTGGTATTTCACATCTGGTCTTTACAGGTATGTGGGAGCATTTAGTGACCTGGGGAGTGTGTCAGTCCTCCGGACTTTCAGGGTTCTCAGAGCTTTAAAAACCATTTCAGTAGTCCCAGGTAAGAAATCTTATGTGCTGAGTATTTTCTCCTACTTACAACTCATTCTTTTCTTCATTCAAAATGTTTCCTTTTGCCTTTTTTTTTCCCCTGTATCTTTCACAAGTAGCAGATACATCTGAATTTGTGCACACAAAAAGTGTCTCAATTCATCTGTCCCAGACAGAATGAATCAAGTGTTAGAAAGAATATTGAATATAGTTTATTTTCATTATGCTTTTAAAGATACTGTCCAGAGTTTATGATCTCAGCTTTACAGAATGTTCTTTTGCCTGATGTGAGTGTTATGGTTCCAAAGAAATAATTCTGGGTATTGAAGGAACTTTACCCCTAATGATCTTATATCATCAATCCATGCCAGGAGAGTTCAGACTGGATATTATCTTCACAAATTGCCAGTGTTGGAAGTATCATTTGAATTATGCCTATTAATTTAATGGATAAAGAAAACTAGACTGTCTCTGGTTCATCATTTTTGAGTGAATATTTTTCAGGGTATAAAGGAACACCTAAAAACTGTAGGGTCAATGAAAGTAGGAAAAAAATATTTATCTCACATCCTAGATATATTAGTATTGCAAATATATTTACCACATATTATCCTGTAATTCTTATACTTTGGCTTTTATATATTGCTTTAACTCTAATCAAGTATGGCATTTGAATCTCAGTTTTTCAACCTGTTTTTTCTTTTTACATTGTCTTTTTAGGGCTCAAGATCATTGTAGGGGCACTTATCCAGTCTGTTAAGAAACTTGCTGATGTGATGATCCTGACCGTTTTCTGCCTGAGTGTTTTTGCCCTCATAGGCCTCCAGATTTTTAAGGGCAATCTCAGGCAAAAGTGCATCAGGAACACTACAGAGTTTTGTAATAAAACATGGGAAAGTTATGAAAAGTTTGCTAATGATTCAGGTAATTTTTCTCCTTCACTCTTCTTTAGATGATCCTATAGACACCTATGCACACATGTATAACCACTGCTGTGAATTATGTTGATGTTTTGATTGATATTTTGATGAGTAACTACCTGATAATGGCCTTCTGATTGCCAGAGCAGCTTGCAGGCATCCAGGAATGCAATCCTTCCCTTCATTATAAGAAAAAGCACTCCCAAATTTTCCAGTAACATCCAGATCTGTTTCCCCAAATGACATGACAATAACAGAAACACGCATTAGCTCATTCTCTGTTGTAATTCCCCAAAGTTCACCTTTTACTACAGGCTGAAGAGCCCATGCATCTTCATTTTCCTGCTCAGTGAGAACTTAAAACAGAAGAATTTGTTGAAAAATCAAATTACTTACTTTCTGGTATCAAATGTGTTTTATTTTATGTCTTATACAAGATATATACAGTACATATGTTTCATGTTTACACCTTGGCTGAGACTGGTGATGGAACCATGGAGCAGAGATCTGAAATTGCATCAAAACATTCTCAGAGGAACAACTATAACATGCAATTCAGAATAGCAAAGCAAAGCCTTGTGTTAAAAGAGAAGCCTCAATATATGTGAAAAAAAAAAAAACAAAACCCAGAACTGGAAAAACAAAATAATCAATGTCTGTGCCAGGAATATGAAGAAAGCTTCATCACTGAAGAAAATCTCTCCCAGTGAGTTCAGACACAGCAGCAGTTGCACAGGAAGAGAAGAATTTTCCCAGAAGAACTCTCAAAATACATAAAAAGTCACCCAGAATTGCTGTTTGTCCAAACTCTGTGTGGGAGATTTGTTCTGACAGGATTTCTTTAATAACTTCAAAATCCAGTGGAAAAAAGGGTAGAAAAAGTTTCTGAGAAAAACCTTTTTTTTTTTCTTGTTCCTACCAAAAGAGCACACAAAAGAAACAAGAAATTTACATGTACAGAATGCTGTAAAAATCATAATTGAAAGAAAACCTGAAAAGGAAACAATCAATTACTAGAACACTGTAGCAGAGACCATGGATGTGACAAAGTTGGGTTAAAAATTCTGATTTTCTGTGCTGAAGAACAAGAAGTAAAAGGATCTATATTTTAGTATATGCAGAACATTGAAGCTGTATAAAGGAAATGGAACTCAAGAAATATAAAATCTGTGTTGCTTCACAGCCTTTGTGTTGTTCAAATTCTATGCCAAAAGGACTAGGAGAGCCCAGAGAGGTTTAATGCATGGTAGAGGACTTTCTTACAGTATTGAGGATGTACAGCCTTATAAACCAAATTTCCTCTAAAGCTATTTTTATATATATTTATTAATATTTATTTACTTTAGATTTTTATATTCATATTTATATTTATTCTATATTTATTTTATTTCTATTTATATACATATATTTATATATATATTGACTGCTTTCCTCCTAATTCTGTGGGAAGTTCCCATCTCCCATACATATTATTATGATTCTCTGAAATTCAGTCACTGAAGCTTCTTAAAAAACCTTTTTTTTTCAGTTTGCAGGAGCAGAGCTGAGGAAAATTTCAGTGGAAAGTAGCCCAGGGATTATATATAGGGCTTTATATAGGGATTTATAGGGAATAGGGATTTATTCCTTTATGGGGCATTTCCAGGGTATGGCAGAGCTGATATCAAAGGTTCCTGGTGGCTGAGTCGTGCTGACTTATCTGATGAGCACAGGAGAGGTTTGAGAAGCACCAGGGGGACACGAGACCTCCCTTACATCTGGAATAATAAACCCACATCTTAATGGAGATAATTAGCTATTAGCTAAAGCTTTTACTTTGATTCTGCTGATAACAGAGTAACTAATGCTAGGAGAAATAGGGGAAGAGTTCAAAAAGGGCACAGCTCCAGCATCCTAATGGATATATCTGCATTTCTCAGCTGAGCAGGGTTAGGAGCTGCTGTTTGGCTCTGCAGTGGTGGACATTCACACAATCAAATATTCTTTCTTCCCTCTCAGAACTGGATTTGTTTTTTGTTGTTCATTGGAAACAGAACTGGTCTGTTCTACTCCTGGAATGTTTGCACACATTCTTGGAGAGGGGCAATTGCTACGGGCCAGATCTCTGCCAATTTGTGCCAACATTTACCAAATATTGTATTGGTTTAACATTTAGATTAGAAGTTAGAGAGAAATTTTTTTATTCAGAGTGTGGTGAGGTCCTGGCACAGGGTGCTCAGAGAAGCTGTGGCTGTCCCTGGATCCCTGGAAGTGCCCCAGGCCAGGCTGGACAGGGCTTGGAGCAACCTGGGATAGTGGGAGGTGTCCCTGGCCATGGCAGGAGGTGGGATGAGATGGGTTTTACAGTCCCTTCCAACCCAAACCACTCTGGGATTCTGGGACTGTGTTTGAGCCTATGTCTTCCAATTCTTCATTTCCTTTATGCAGACGTAGCCAAAGTGATAACATCTTTAAAAATTCTGAATTGAAGGACTGCCTTCAGTGTGAAATTTGTGCAAACACATATGAGTGTTTATAAGTGGGGCCAGGGCATCCTGCAATCTGCTGCAGTTAATGTGAGCACAGGAAACCTGTGCTCTTACAGGTCACTGGTTACTCATCACTACTCATATTAAATGATAGAGGATTCAGGCTAGAAAGTGCTCTGTGTTTAATTTTTCTTTCCTGTTTTTCAATAGATGACTTTGCTATAAAAAATGGTACTGTGGATATTTTGCTGTGTGGTCCTGGTGCTGGGTGAGTGCACTTAAGATTATTTCTTCCTTGGAAGTTTTCTCTGCCTCAGTGCTCCTTTATTTGCTCAGTCATGTGAGACAAAAGCAGAAATTCCAAGCTTTCCTTGAATGCAGAAACAGGAACACAGAAAAAAAGTATAGCAAACAGTCAGATAATTCAAGTCTTGTAGGGAATGAAATATGAACTTGCAGTTGGCTTATTCAGATCTAATTAGTCTTTTAGACTTTCTTGAAGTATTGTCTTCCTCTTTCCCATGGATGTATGAGAGAACTGAAAATGTGAAATATCTGAGATATAACACAGGACAGACATTCCTCTCTGTGAAGGCTCATGAGCATTAAAGTGGAAAAACAAAACATGAATTTTGGAGGGCAGGTTTGGGGAAGGAGGGAGATGTGGCTGCTTTTCAGTGAGGGGAAGGGGATGAGGATTGGTAATGAGGGGACTGTCCTGGGATGGTGGTCTGCTCCAGCCTGTCTTCTTCCTTTGTTTCTGGATTGTGGGTGCTGCTCTTTCCATCCCTTCTTCCAGCCAATATTACCCGGAGTAGAAAATTGTTTTGTAATCTAATGAACTGCAGAGCTGAAAGATAATCAGAACTCTTACATAAAGCTGAAGTTTTCCTTGAAATCTGCACATTTATCTGCTCCACTTTTTGTTATTAATTCTAGGGTCTGTCCTCCTGGATATAAATGCTGTAAAATTGGGCCAAACCCTGATTATGGTTTCACCAGTTTTGATACATTTGGCTGGGCTTTTCTTTCCTTATTCCGCCTGATGACCCAGGACTACTGGGAGCGTCTGTACCAACAGGTACCAGCTTTGTGCATGGTTCAGAACTGAACTTCATCAGTTGAAGCAGAAAATGTGTAGAGAGGACAAGAAACCTCAAATAAAAGGAATAGCTGCAAGGCATCGAGCCCACGTCTTCCCTCCTGCCTGTGGCTCCTAGGAAAGGGATGCTGAAGTGCTTCCCAGCCCTTTCACCCTGCTCCTGGAGAAAAATCCTAAAAGGGTTCTGTACTGTCCTTCAAAAATGTAGAAGTGCCTCCTTGATGGTCTTCATGGGATGTACAATCAAGGATTCACATGTGAGGGTGTAGGAGGAGGGAGGAAGACAGGGAAGAATAGCAAAGAAATTTCTAATTCCATTTAAGCTTCCTGAAGCACCGTGTCTAGGAAGCTCAGTGCTTTTAAAGAATTTCAGAGACACATTGAAAGCCTACCTGGTATTTTTTGTGGTAATGTTTTATCTCTGGGGTGTGTTGCTTGCAGACCCTCAGAGCTTCTGGGAAGGTGTATGTAGTCTTCTTCATGATGGTCATCTTTCTGGGCTCATTTTATCTAGTCAACTTGATTCTGGCTGTAGTAACAATGGCATACGAGGACCAGAACAAGGCCACCATTGCTGAAACTGAGGCAAAGGAAAGGAAATTTCGGGAAGCTATGGAATTACTGCAGAAGGAGCAAGAGGTACGTGAATTATTCTCTTGCAAGTGTTTGTCTAGTTCTATTTCTAGTCATGTCGCCTGGTTTAGGTTGGAAGGGACCATAAAGATCATCTCATTCTGAGCCCCTGCCATGGCCAGAGACACCTTCCACTAGACCAGGTTCCTCAGAGCCTCATCCAGACATAAGAAAAAGCATCATCCCCTGTGTACACCTGTATATAAAAACCACCCATGGAAACAGGAGCAAGTGATGACTTACTGAAATTAGTGATTCCTGGAGCTGCACAACAACTCCTTGTTCAACTGTGTATTTTTCCTGTGAAACAATGACTTTTATTCTGGATAAAAAACATTAAAGATCAATGTTACTTAAAGAAAAGCAGTATTTTTAAATCTGGAAAACATAAAATTCCATCAACCAGCAGCTTCCAAAAGAAAATGTAGTTGTTTTTTAGTTCTTTTTTTATTCTATTTTGTCATTTGGGCTGCTGAGAAAAGAAACATACAGTAATTCTGCTGCATCAACATCTGAGCCAAAACCTATTGTAGTTGAATGAAAAATCTCTTGGTAACTTAAATAGCACAGAAACTTCTGGAACAGAATACTCCTATATTTTTAAAATATCACCCTGAATTCAGCATGGGAAGGAAAATCATCCACACTGTGAATATAGTCCCAAGGATCCCCAATGAAAAGAAATAATTTTATTATGGTTTGAAGATTTATTTTGGGGAAATGATATATTCTACTGCATTATTTTCAAACTGAGCATTTTTATTGTAAGCAAATTTGCCATATGGAGGAGTGGGAGCTATAATGTGATTATTTTGCCTCTGGCAGGCCCAGAACTTGATCGTAGAACACACTGCAAATAGAAAATTGTTCAGTACTCCATATGTGGGGGAATCTCCTCTTTCTTTCAGCATTATCATACATTTGAAGATTTTTAATGAGTTTTGTGAAACACAAATTGTTAACAGGAAATAATAATATAGAGCACAGAAGTGCTTTCTTTCTGCTTTTATTCAAAGCACCCAGAAAAATATCGCCTATGTTTTTCTTTGCATTTCAGTCGCTGGGTATTAAAGGGATTGATATCCTATCACTTAGCTCCTTTGAAGCCTCTTCTCTGTCATCCAAAGAAATCAAAGAAAGGAGCAATAGGAAAAAGAGAAATAAATCATTGGGGAGAGAAGATAATGAAGAAGAAGAAGAACTCCCCAAGTCACGGCTCCCAGATAGTCAACGAAAGTTGGTAATCTATTATTTGAATCTGAGATCCTTACAGCTTTTCTAGTTTTATTTTAAATTTAATGGCTTGAAAGCATAAACAAAATCCCATTACAAACATGGATCACTCTTAAGTCTTTAAAATAAACAATATGTGGGATAAAAAAGAATTAGATGTAAAAATTAATTTGAAAAAGTAGTATTATAAATGGAGGATGAAAGCAAAGTTAAAATAGTTAAATAAATTTTCTATAACAATGAGAAATAAAAATAAGTGAATGACTATCAGAACTTAGCTTTTATACCATCATTCTCTGCAAAAAATTTAATTCTTAAAATATAAGTATAAAGCTTATCTCAAAAGTAGATGGTATAGCTCATAAAATTTTATTATCTGCTGTTGAGAATCTAAACATAATCCTTGCTGAAAAATCTAAATCAAATAAGAGTTTTGGACTCGCAGTGGTAGATAGCAAATGTTAATAATTACAGCTTCCCCAGATGTATTCTATGATATTATGCTGTTCTTCTCTGTTTTGCTTTTCTTGGGCTTCCAGTCTCTCCTGGGCCTGGTGTACGGCCCCAACGCCAGCGAGGCCAAGCGCCGGCTGAGCCACGGGAGCGTCTTCAACTTCCAAATCCCCGCCGTGGAGGTGGATCCCGGAGCGGATTTGGGTGACGAGGACCCCCGCGGTCCCAGGGGACACAAACCCCGCTGCCAGTCGCTGTCGGGGGCGCAGATGGGAAGACGCCCCAGCCTGCAAAGCCAACTGGGCCACAGCTCCCACCCTGCCACCCCGAACTGTGCACGCAGCAGCAAGGGGGGCAACGTGGATGACCTCCTTGGGGTGGGGATGGGCATGGGAGGAGGGAGCAGCAGGGTGCACAGCCAAGATCCGGTGTCCTCTGATGGAGCCATGCTTCCACCAGTCATGGAAGACTTGGGAAAAGGGGGTCTGGTAAGGAAAAATAGAATATTTTAAATATTTGCTTTATAATGTGGTTTATCAATCAGTGGCAAGGTTGGGGTTTTTTTTTGTTGTTTTAAGAGTTTCACCTTAATGGCACACAGTGATGCCAACTCAAGCATACTGATATGGCAATTTTTCAGCTGTCTGTAGAAACTGGTTTTTAACAGTCTGATACTTCCTGAAAATTAGATTTTAGCCTTCCTGTTGTAAACCTTGCATTTCTGCTATTCATTAATTGTACTAACATAGTTTGAAATGCTCCTAGTGCTGAAATTACAAGCCACCCAAGAGTCTCTTCATCGTAATGCTACCCAGGGATGTAATTTTCAATACCTGTGATTTTTTTTTTCTTTTTATTTTTTTAACCTGTTGTTGCTGTTCCTAGCCCCTTCAGCATCATGCAGCAGCTTTGCCTCTAAGTTCCCCAATTTCCCCTATTTATCCTTCACTCCTCTCCTATTCCATTATTCTCTTGAATAATTCCCAGGCCTATTTCCCCTCATGCACTCATTTCCAAGGCTGTGCTTGTCCCATGTTATGCACTTGCAGGATCCATTCACTGCAGCCCCAGAACAGAGTAGGACCTTTAATCTCACCATCAATTACACCTTGTAAAAACGTACATTTATTTGGCTGCGTGTCATTGCTCCTATTAACTCTCACAGTTACCCATCATCACATCCTGGCTCATTTCACTCCCGTGGTATCTCCCTAATCGTGTTTACTTCTCTGAGCAGCCAGCTGTGCATGATGAGAGCAGCACGATGCATTTACCTCCTCATCTGTCAGTGGAGCACTTTAATGAAGCTCTTCACAGACAAAGGGCAGCAAGTGTAGTCAGCATAATTACCAGTGTCTTGGAGGGTAAGTGGTTCCTTATTAAGTTTATTTCAACCCTAAAGTAATGCTACCATGAAATAAGAAAAAATCTCTTAAAGATTAGCAGAGATTTGTAGGCACGTAGTTAGGAATTTCATTGTTGGTTTGGTCTTCCTTTAGAGAAAAAAAGGTGTTACACAGTCTCTATGTAGTGGAACACATCCTTTGCCTATTGAAAAAGCTGGTTTTGAAGGACAGAGAGTGAAGGGGGTTGGGGTGAGGGTGGGTGGAAGATATTTCTGATCATCTGACCTGCAGGTCTGGGACACTTTTTTCATCGCGATCCTCTGATTTCTGTTGTGTCTGTGGCAGAATTCAGAGTATTCACAGGCATGCAGAATCCAACAATTAACAAGATTATGCAAGTGAAATTAGTTGTGCCAATTCTTGGATATTGAATACTTAACTTCACAGTTTTATTACTTTAATTTACCTTCCCATGTGAATTTTTGGTGGGAGTTAGCGACAGTGATTTTGATGACTGATAGTTTAGTTGCAGATCTTGCTGAAAAATTTCGGTCCAAGTAATCCAGGATGATGAACTTTTGTTTTCTTTTGGCCCTTTTGAGGAGCTCTACCACCAGTTCTTGGACTACAAGTATGGGATTGAACAGGGGGGTACCTGTTTAGGTCCCTTTTCTCAAATTTTTAAAATATTTTTTCCTGGGAGAATCATGGTTGAAACACATCCAGTTGAGTTTGCATTGCAGTGTAATCCATGAAAGATGTGGGTTTTGTTGTACAGTTTCAGCTGTGAACTGGGGTGGAACAGGACTTGGAGCTCTAGTGCAAGACGAGAGGTAGACCTGGAGTGAGAACTGAGTCAAAGTGATCACTCTGGAATAAGTGCTGTAGGTACAGGTGTAGGTGTTGAGCTTGGGAGAGAAGAAATGAAAATTAAACAGAAGGAAGAAACAAGGACAGGTACAATTAAGAAAAGGATATGAGTCACATCCAGCTCATCTATTTCTGAAAAGCTTCCAGGTCCCTGAAAACCAGATGAGTAATTCCTACTGTGCTTGTATTTAAAGCTAGTTTCAGTTGGTCAATGAATTTGCACAGGGCTTAAGCTGGGTCAAAAGTATTTTGAAGGGCTCATTAATATTAATAATAAAGAAAGAAAAGCTATGAGATTTAGATTTGATTAAAAGGATGAAAATTACAAAGACAAAACAGCTTCTGTCCCAAGTTCTATTTGTGGAAAATATAGATGAATTGAACTTGCATCAGCTGGGAAATGGTGGGTGTGACCTTTCCCATAGAAAAGACCAAAGGCCAAATTTCAGGCAATTTGGATTTGCCAGAGTCAGAATTCCTGTCTCCCATTGAATCTTTAAACTGCCTTGAGAGTCAGGGGAGACAAAAAGTTGTTGGGTGTGACACAGCCGTTGTCCCAGACACCGTGAGGACACGGTGGGAAGCGCTGTAGTGGCTCTATTGTCCTGCAAGAGCAGGGGGAGCTGTGGTGAGGCCTCTGCATCACAAATATCTGCATTGTCAGATGATTGTAGTACCAGTCTGCGACAAATAAAACCCTTTCCAAAGGCTTCTGAAAGAAGTGCTCACAAAAGAATTTGGAATCCCATTTTCTCTGAATTTTTTGTTTCCACATTTATCAGCTGATGTAAGAGCCACATGAATGGTAGAAAGTACAGGGAAGCTCTGTGACAGATGAGAGATTTTTCTTTTCTTCTCTGCTCTTTTGAATTCTTGAAGTTGTTATTTCACCGTCTTGCTCAGTGATAACTAATGATAGAAGGATTTTCTTTTTCATTTAGAACATGTAGAAGCTCAGCAGAAATGCCCACCACGCCTGAAGAACTTTGCTTTAAAGTACCTAATTTGGGACTGTTGCCCATTTTGGTTGAGAATCAAGGAAAAAGTGTCTGCTTTCATAAAGGATCCTTTTTTTGATCTCACCATCACAGTTTGCATTGTGATGAACACTTTGTTCATGGCACTGGAGCACAATAATATGTCACCTACTTTTAAATTCATGCTTAAAATAGGAAACCTGGTAAGCAAATTCTCGGCTACGTGGTTTTTCTTTGGATTAATTAATTGGTTGATGTGTGTTTTCACTCAAAACATAAAAAGTATCAGTAAAAATTAAAAATTAGCAATCCCTGCATTTATAAACTTTGTTTCTGCTAGAGATGATTCACAGCTTTTTTCATATGCTTTGGCATGCTCCTGAGAAGGCAGAAAAGAATCCTCCCATTCAATCACAAGTGCATTAGGACTGCATAAACATGGGTTTTATTAACATGTCCATGAATGTTGAGGCAACACAACCTAGAGATGAATTCATGGCTGCTTTCAGGCTAATGCTACTGTTTCTTTGTCACAGGTTTTTACAGGGATCTTCACTGCAGAAATGATCTTAAAAATCATCGCTCTAGATCCCTATTACTATTTTCAGCAGCCCTGGAATATTTTTGACAGTGTCATTGTCACACTGAGTTTAGTTGAACTGAGTTTCCCCAAACACAAAAGCAAGAAAGAAAGGCGAAAAGGAGGAACCCTGTCAGTTTTACGATCCTTCAGACTGGTAATGCTTCATGCATGCTCAGTTGTATGAAATTTTATTTTGTGAATTTAATAGAGAATACTTCTGTAGTTAGGTGGCAAGAATTTATTTCTCTATTTTTTTAACCCCAATTGTTTTTATTTCCTTGGCTTTAACAAACAAACTCAAACTCCTTTTGATGTTAAAGTCAGAGTTTAAGACATATATTTCTTTTGAATTCAGTGAGAAATATTAAAAGGAAAAAATATTCTAGAATGGACAGGTTATAAAACTGATGCAAATAATTAAAAACTAGCACAGGAAATTAGAGAAAAAAGTGTCAGTGTACAAACAGAAATAAACCATATTTAAAGAGAAGTGTGAAATTATGTTAAGGCATCCACTTCATATACCAGGGACTGATTTAAATTGCTTTGCCAAAATATAGACTCTTTTCATAGTGCTACAACAGCAGCCCCTGAGTTTTTGGTCCCTTGCTCTACATGTAAATTAAGCACCATAATCTACATAAAGAGCATTGCATGGACACCTGCCTGTGTGGGCCAAGCATTCATCAGGGTCTCAAATTAATTGATTAATTTATGTTTGCAGAGTTGCCCAGTCAAAAGAAAAAATATCTATAAATACTTTTTTAAAGTATTAATGTGCCATGAATGTAGCATTGCTGGAATAGTTCAGAATATCAGTAATTTGGTTATTGTAGATTTGCATGGTGCAAAGATGAGTTATCTCTACCGATGTCTAACACTATGTTTTATGTTGCTACACAGCTGAGGGTCTTCAAACTGGCAAAGTCCTGGCCAACTTTAAACACTCTAATTAAAATAATTTGTAACTCCCTGGGAGCACTCAGTAATCTGACCCTCGTCCTGGCAATCATCATTTTCATTTTTGCTATAGTAGGGGTGCAACTTTTTGGGAGAAATTATGTGCTCAACTGCTCTAAAATAAGCAAAGACTGCAAGCCACGCTGGCACATGAAGGACTTTTTCCATTCATTCCTCGTCATTTTCCGAATTCTGTGTGGAGAGTGGATTGAGACCATGTGGGACTGCATGGTGGTTGCTGAACCATCCCTGTGTCTGGTTGTCTTTCTGCTGGTGATGGTGATAGGAAATTTGGTGGTAAGTTTCTCAATGTGTTCTCCACATCCTGTCTGTGGTGGACTGCAGTTAATGGCTGTTCTGACAACAAAAGGTAGCTGCCCTAAAAACAGGTGGAAAAGTTACCTATGCATGTTATAGTCTGCAAAATCCTCTTTTTCCTTTCACCTCTGAGCCACTGTCTGTATTTTCCCATTTTGTGAGCTCTGCACACAGCATCACTTGACCTTTTCATGTGGCAGTGTGACGAGAAATACCTTTGCAGTAAATACACCACAGGCAATGTTTCTTCATATCTTGGGATTTGGATGTAAATAATCAGTGAGGCTTATGGCTTACCTGCTTGAATTAATTAGGCCAAGTGCTTAAGTCCCTCTCTAAATCAATTCTATTTATTTTTTTTTAAGACCTCATGCAAGTACTGAATTCTTTATCAGCAAATGGCAGAATCTGCAGTTCTACCACAGAAATTGAGATTATTTTTAGGCATCTCAAAGTATATTTATATCCAAGAGCTCACTCTTGCAATAGCATAAGCTACACTGCCTCAACACTCTGTGCTGGGACATAAGGGACAGCCTGCCTTCCCTGGTCCTGTGCTGTCCTTTCTTGATGACTAAATCATAAATATCTTTTGTTAGTATCTTTGCTCCTCATGTCCTTCCTTCATATGGAAAACTTCTCTTAACTGTAAAAAAAAAATTCTGAACATATTTAACTCTGGGCAGACTTTTATGGGAAATCTCTGCTCTGTGGATGAATCCTAAATATGTATTTAATGTTCTGCCTGTTCCACACTGCAAGGGTTGAAGTCAGTGATGAAATGCTGTGAGTGAGATTTATATCACATAATGTTAACTGTAAAACAATGAAATGTTTAGCCCCCACTTTTTGTCCAGGCTTTCTTATGGTCCAAGGATGCAGAGAGAGGTATCTGGGACTGAGACTGATTCCAGCCAAAAGTCAGTAACTAAGACACATGGGATGAATTGATCTCTGGAGAGCTGCTATTCTCCACAGCCTGTGGTTCTTGGATGGCTCAGGGGTGTAACCTGCCCAGTTCTGACATGATAAAAGTTAAGATACACAAAACCCATTAGAAACCAAAATACTAGTGAAAAATTAAATTTGCTCGTTCCCTTAAAAGCAAAGAAACAAAAACCAAATGTAGGTTTAAAAATTCCTTTATTTGAAGGTCCTTAAAAATGAGAAATTTGAGTTTCTCTTGGTTTTGATTTTTGTGATAATGTGGCAGATTTGAGGAATTTTCTTGGCCTGAATCTGATCTCACAGAAATAACTCCACAGAGGCCCAATTTAATTATAATTTGAAGAATGAAGAGACAATTATTAAACTGACAGGATGTGAGTCTATGTTACCACTTTAACCTTTGAAAAGTTACTTCTGCCAAATGTGTTTGGCACACAGGCCTGCTTTCTCTTGTAGTTTAACTTACATTTTTTGAGGAGAGAGGAATGGGAACATTGAAATTTCTGACAGAGAAGTTGATTTCATCAACCACAATGTGATCAGTCATAATCATTTCCTTTTCACCTTGTTTTGGTTTGCTCAGGACAGACTGAACTTTGGTAGCATCTGTGTTCTTCAAACGTTAGAATTCAGATTTCTGAATGCTGGTGTCTGGACTTTAATTTTATTTTTTTTTATTATTATTATTTCAATTGCTTTCAGGTTCTCAACCTTTTCATTGCACTGCTGCTGAGCTCTTTTAGTGCTGACAGTCTCCAGACAACAGAGGATGATGGAGAGATGAACAATCTTCGGATTGCCTTCGCTCGGATCCGCAAGGGATTCCACTTTGTCAAGAGCGCGACGTGGGATGCCTGTTGTAGGAAGCTCAGGCAGATAAAGACAGTGCACAGGAAGAAAATCAAATTGACTGCACAAAACTCACTTGGGTTCAAGAGTGAAGAGACAAAGAGTTGTAAAGAGAATTACAATAATGAATGGATTGAGAAAAACGGGGATAAGTGCCCAGGTCTTGAAGATTTTGTTAGAAATCCCAACATATTTGTTTGTGTCCCTATTGCTGAGGCAGAGAATACGAGTGAGGGTTTCGAAGATGATGATAAACTGAGCACATTTACTGACACAGAATGCAGCAAACAGGTAATGGATTTCTTTATTTGTGTTGGAAGAGTAGAATTGTGGAGAGAGATGAAGAGAGGCAGGGATGTGCAGGAGAAGATGGTCTCTAGCAGAGAAGGGTGGGGTGTGTTGATCTGTTTCCAGAGAGTTACAAAGTCCTGAACTAGAACCAAAAGTAAAAATATTTTCAGCAAGGGTAAATCATCACTTGATTTTTAATCTTGAATCTCGAATGTTTAAAATCAAGATGTTTTCATAGTTTAAAAAGAAAATTTACACAGGAATTCTAGCTGATGTGGTGCACACAGGTAATTGTGGCAGTCCTTGGCAAACATGTAATTTTTAAATGTAAATATTTATGAATAATGTCAACTGTTTTGGTATTATTTGCACAAAAGAGCAAAAATACATGTTCTGCATGCAGAACATTATCATGGATTCAGAACATGAATTTATATTTCTGATCCTTACTTTGTATTTTTCCTTGCTCTGTGTAGTATGTAGTAATTATTAGAAGTGGATGGGATTAAGTATGGAGTGGCTCTACTAAGGACATATTTTTTATACTACATCATATATTTACCCTATTTCTTTGTGCTCTATGAATTTTTCAGTTCTGTTTCAATTACAGTTGTCATTCTGGTATCACAATTTCCCACCTTAAATTTCCCTCTTAATTCCTGTGTAAGAATTCTCATTTAAATTTTGAATAGGTCACCAAAATGCCTTCATTTGCTGCATGTCTATTAGGGAAAAGTTCTATCCTTAGGCAAAATCAGAGACTCAAAATGATCCTTTCTTATAACTCTTGTCTGGAGATTCCCACTTTAAATGAAATGTACAGATTATTGGTTTTTTTCCCCCCTGACTTGTGCACTCCTGAAAAAGGCAAAAGAAAGCCCCTCTAATCCACAGATTAATTTCAGGATGAAAATCAACTGAGGCAAAGGGGAGACAGAGCAAAAAATTCAGGCAGCTGGAGTAAAGGATCAGGATTTGCCTCTGAAGAATTCAGTGTGCTTTATCTAGAAAAAGACAGGAAGGGTGAACTCTCATCACCAGAAGATAAAGAGGTAAAAATTTAATTTTTTTTTCAGTGATGTTGATTTTCCAGTACTGATCAAACACAGGCATATTCCTGTTCAGGGATTTACCAGAGAGAAGTTTAGTGCATAAGAAGCTCCGAATTTGCAGTACCTGGTCTGGCAGCACAAGAACCAATACTGGAGCTGGAATTCTGTGAGCCAAATCAAAGGGTTTCTAGGTATTTATTTTAAAGAAAAATATAAGTATAGGAAAGAGAGCATGTAGAAATGGGAAAACTACAATGTAATTTTGGTAGTAATTTTGAATAAGTTATAAAAGACTCTCTGATACCTTCCATTTATTAAATTCTGTCTCCACAAAAAAGGAGGATTAAAAAAAGAGAAATAAATAAAAAAAAGAGAAGAAAAAAAAAAGAAAAAAGAGAGAGATAAATAACCTTCCATGTGGGAAATTCCATCAAGTCTGCCTGTATCCTAAGTATCTTGGATTCAAGAAACATAATGCTTGAAATGAGTTTCTCTCTATGTCATTAAAGATTGTTGTTACCAGTTTACAATATTTTTAAAATAATTTGGAATGTAGAACACATTCTAAGAAATAAAAAACAACATTATGGAAACATGAAAGAACAAAAGCATAGAGTAATTGCTAACAAACTGCTGACTCATAACAAATTGTCTTTGATTTAATGGGAAGGAAAAAAAGCTTTGTAACTGAAGAATACAGGGTAGGATTCAAATTTCTACTTCCTAAATACCGTCATGGGTGCTCAGTTCCTGGCATGATAACAGATATATTTATTTGAGTCTCCTGTGTGAATGCATCTTTCCATGATTTCATGGTTTTAACCCAAGTAATTTCTCCTGTTTTGAGAACCATATACATTAATATGCAATTTAAAAGCTTTTCAATTTCCCAGCTGATTAGGCAGTTACATCTGGTTCATGTAGATAGATATTGGGATTACAGAGCTTTGGCCTCTATTTCAATGCACATATTGGATCCACTTCTAAGCTTAGATCTTTTAAAATTAAAAATTCCATTACCCAATAATATTAGTAATATTAGTACATAAAAAGCTTTAATTTTGAGTTTTATTTGTTTATGGATTATTTATTCATTTGGACCCGAATTAGAAAGAATCAATAACTGATATTATTTGCTTGGTAGTTGGACAGTGTCAGCTCTTCTGAAGCCAGCACAGTGGATCTGGCAAACCCAGAAGATGTTTTAAAACAGATTCCAGAATTTTCTGAAGACTTCAAGACTCCAGAACAATGTTTTCCAGAAGGTAAGACTCTCATGGTTTCACTGCTGGGAAGTGAGAAGACTGAAAACTCAGCTTGTTTCTCTGGTGATGCTGAGCCAGTAGGGTCAAATTATTTTCAGTTAATTTTACTTATCTGAAAAAAAGCTAAATAGTTGTCCCTATCTAGTCAACACAGAGACTGGGATACATGAAAAATAAAACCCCTAAAAGCCAGTTCCTTCCAAGTGGGCCAAGAGATTGGCACAGACCCCATTAAATAAAATAGGATTTGAGGTGAGTTGAATTTCACTCGGTTTGACAACAACCAAGTCACTCTGGGGCTTTAACATAAGAGAAGTGTGTAGGATCATGTCTCAAGTGGCACATCAGATTTATTAATACTTTGCAGCAGTAAAATATTCCTTGGTTAACATTTCATGAACAATCTCAAAGGAGTGAAAGGAGCAATAGAAGCTGCTAAGATTAATTGAATTTCTATAGGGTGATGATTAGAGAATTATAGAATGACTTGGGTTGGAAAGGGCCTTAAATATCATCCAGTAATCTGAGGACTTTTAAAGTCATCAGACAATATCTAGCTTTGAAAATTGTTCTAGGATGTGTTCAATACTTTTATGATTTCTTCCTACCCTAATATGTAACAACACTGGCTTCATAATATCAATCCTGACAAATTTGGTGGCTTTCTACACTGGGGTTACAGAATCTCATCTCTGCTTTCCAAAGAGTGTGCAGAAACTGAGAAAGGCTTTTGTAACACCAAGACTCTTCCCATGGCCCTGAAGTTTTCTGTGCTCCAGCAGCAGGTCAGTGAGAGCCTGTCCAGTGTCTCAGGAATATCTTGAAATAATGGAAAGTTGTCCAAAGGGGCTCTACTTGCTGTGTTTATGAATAGGGGCTACAAGGCAAATTAAACTAGATGTATCCCATGGTTTTTTCTTTTGGTAAAGCAGGGAAAGCCAACAACAATGGTGCAGTAACTGTGACCATTGACTTTGTCCCATTCCCAGAAGTTTCCAGGCCATGCCTTCTCATTCATGTGCTTTCCTTCCATGCTCTCCTTGCTGTCCCTCAGGTTGTGCTCGGTACATTCATTGTTGCCTGGGCAGTGCTGAAAAGTTTGGAGGAGAAACCTGGTGGAACCTGAGAAAAACCTGCTACCAGATTGTTGAACATTCCTGGTTTGAATCCTTTATCGTGTTCATGATTCTTCTGAGCAGTGGAGCCCTGGTTGGTGTAGCACAGTTTCATGTATTCGTGAAGGATTTTTGGCTTTACTTTGCACCCAGAGAAGTTGTTTTTAGCAACAAACAAAGTGAATATCTTTGAACTCATAATGAGGGAAGAGTCTTCAAATAGCAGTCATTTATTCACCATTTTAATTATTGAAAATCTGTTATTGATATTATTAAAAATTATTAGAGAACATGAGCTAAGCTAAGAATATATGAATCTCAGAAGGTTTCTCTTCTGGTTGTATACTGAATTTTTCTCAGGAAGTCAGGAAGTCAGTCACAATTGTGAAACATTAAGGGGATTTTATACCATTAAAGCAAACAAATGACTCTTAATACTTGGAAAAAAATACTTAGTTCTCTTCAATAGATAAACTTTACGATATAAATTTCTAAAAATATGTACTGTTCTCCTGGGATTTCATTGTGCAGGAAGGATGCATCCACAGGGCTGTATTATATAGAGAAAGAGAAGGCACAGGGAGAATTTTATCAGCTGGCATAGATTTGAGTAACAAATGGTGTTCAGATCTGTATTAAAACAAATTGAATGATGAAGGGGTTTCAGTGCTGCTTGACTTTAATTGTACTAGGTTAATTTCTGATTTTTTACCATCTATCTATACCTATTATGATTTCAGGCATTTGAAGACATCCATATACATAAGAGAGAAAGAATTCAAGCGATATTGTTATTTCTTGACAAAATGTTCACTTTCATTTTTGTCCTGGAGATGCTCCTGAAGTGGGTGGCTTATGGCTTCAAGAAGTATTTCACCAATGCCTGGTGCTGGCTGGACTTCCTCATTGTAGGCGTGAGTTCAGCCTTTGCTGTCCCTACACAGCATTAGCAGCAGAATCCCTGATTATTTTCTGGATGTAAATGCCAGACAGTGCCCTTCACTGTACTCCAGGCACTGAAAACATGGTTTTGTTTGTTGGTTGGGTTTTGGCTTTTTTTAACAGAAATAAAGGAAGCAGATGACAGGACACTGCTAATACTTTTCCTTTTCCTTCCCACTCAGGTCTCTTTGGTAAACCTCTTTGGCAGTACCTTTGGCCCCATGAAATCTCTTAGGACTCTGCGAGCTCTGAGGCCCTTGAGAGCGCTGTCACGGTTTGAGGGGATGAGGGTAAGACTGATTGCAAACTAAAGCTTGTCAGAACTGATGAGCACATAGCAGGTTTGTGACTCACCACTGTGTCTTTATGAAGTTCACATGTTCACCCAGAGATCAGTTTAGGAACTATAAAATGAATTTTTAAAGAGACCCATGGTTGCAATCTTCCGTTCATGGGCATTCCTTACAGACTTTCCTGGAGTGATTGATCCAAGTGCTGTTGAAACTAAAACTGGCCTAGGAGGAACTTTGTTCCCTTGCTGCTAATTCTCATGTTCCTGTCTTACTGAGGCAAGAATTTCGTGAAGAATAAGAACTGTGAGCACAATTATAATTTTTGAAATCTGATAACAAACTAACTCAGAGGAGTCACATCAATTTTTAAAGTTTGTAATGGATGGATTTACAAAAATCTGTAGCCTGTTAAAAAGTATTTTACTCAAATTATTGTTTCAAATAGAGTTATTCTAGAAAACAAAAGTGTTTGTCTCTAGAACACTAGATTTTCCCATTTAAAGAGCACATTTATTTATTATTTTTTACTCTGGAAGTGAGACTGAAAATATTTTGTGTATAAGCTTGACACTGTGAAGACAGAGAGAAAAATCATTAAATTAATTAGCAGAATGTATCAAAATTTCCATGTCTGGAGTAAATTTTGGTATTGAAACAGGGGACGTCATACTTTCTGTCTTGCTATGAAGAATGTGTGAGGCAGTCTCCAAAAAACTTCCACAAAGCCTTCGAATTTTTCTGCTGGTCCATCAAGTTTTTCTTTGCTACCTGACAGATGAGTTCACTGCCTTCACTGTGAAACCCAAAGAAATGTTCCCACCATTCCCTTACCCAGTTTTTTTAAGCAATCTGCTATGTCGTAGCATACATTTAAAATCTGCATGGACACTTTTCTCTGGTTGTGCAGCACCTAGCACAGAAAACATACCTGGCTTATGGCTGTACCCAAACAAAATCATAATCCCCTAAAAATAAATGAAGCAAATTACTAGTGGAGAATTATTTCTGCTGTCCTTTTAAGAACTGCTTTTGAGAGTCTTAAAAATAGTCCTCTGCACTAGTGCTCATGGATGAATACTTCAGAAATCTTGTGTTAAAAAAGTCTGAAACAAAGAAACAAATGGATTATGTCCTATTCCAAAAAACAAAGGAAAGTAAAAAAGAAACTGAGTGGGCTTACAATTTAGTAGTAGTAGGGTCTCACAGAATACCAAGAAGTATCAACTATTTCTTTGAATGCCTAATAAATACTAAAGATATGGTTCAGCTGTGACTAGTATTTACAAGGAAAACATCAGGTTTTTGTTTGTAGAGATGATTAAGTGACTGCTTACAGAAACCTGGGCTCATCCTTTTTCTGAAGAGTATTTTTCTCTCCCTTTTCATCCAAGGTTGTGGTCAATGCCCTCCTGGGAGCAATCCCTTCCATCATGAATGTTCTCCTCGTCTGCCTCATCTTCTGGCTCATCTTCAGCATCATGGGAGTGAACCTCTTTGCTGGGAAGTTTGGGAAATGTGTCAATATGACAGATGAGAATTCCAAATTAAGCAGTGAGATCGATAACAAAACAGACTGTGGGATGTATAACAACACTGGAAAAATATTCTGGGTCAACGTTAAAGTCAATTTTGATAATGTTGGCTCTGGCTACCTGGCTCTTCTTCAGGTGGTAAGTGCTGCTTGTCCTTAGTAGCCAGCACCCTGTCAGATGGGCTGGACCTTTCACCAGTTCCTAATTCATCTCTGAGGGTGATACAGGCAGTGAAATATCCTGCAGCTTGCAAGGAAATATCCTTGTTGCTGGCTATTCATGCACACAAATGGGAAAAGCAGGTTAGATGAGACCCTGACGTGATTTTCCAGGTGATAAAGGAACATTTGGTGGTCAAGTGCTGTTGCAGCTCCCACCAGTTTCAGGATCCTGAGAGCCAAAGTCCATCTCAGAAGGAATTCTGGGGCAAATAGCGACCTTTTCTGACAAAATGTGCACTTGTTCAGCCATGAGGGTTGCATGGCCTTCAATGCCATGCTGATGAAGGTTTGCTCTGTCAGAATCCTAGGTTAAAGTGTTCTGTCTCCCCCTTGAGAGCTTTCATATCCTAATGAGGCTGAGAATGCCACACGCAGCAGCAGCAGCCAGAGCTCGGTGTTTTGTGCATGTGAACACAGCAAAGGCTCTTCTCCAGTCATCATTATTCAGATATTGCAAATTATGGGAAGATTTTTAAGGTCAAGGTTCAACACATTTTCCATAATCTCTCATTCCAGGCAACATTTAAGGGTTGGATGGACATCATGTATGCTGCAGTAGATTCACGAGAGGTCAGTAACTGTATTCAAACCATATTTTTTGTGAATGCTACTGCTTTCTGCAAATGCAGTATTTGTTTTGCAGTTCTACATCTGCTGTTTGTCTGTGCTAAACACTACCAGTAATTATTTTCTGTCAGATGATGTAAACATTTAATCTGCAAATGACTCATAGTATCCTAAAGCTCCTCTGTTGCAATGGGGAAAGGGTTTCAGCTCTTGATCCACCTGCTTAAAAAGAACAAAGTGGTATGAATTAGTAAGGAAATAAATTGAGATGTAGAGGATGTCTTAATTTCATCAGGAGTTCAAAGGAACAAAAGAATTTTTAAAGTATTTTAATATTATAATATTGCTAATATTTTATATGAAAATATAAATCATATATAAAATATGAAAATGCTAATAGTAGTATTTTCATATATTTATGTGGTTTTGTGTGTGTGTTTTAATTTTTTTCTTCTTTTTTATTCAATTTGAAAAGTTATTTTTCCTCCAATTTTGTTTTTATTCATAATAGCCATCACAGAAGTTTTAAAAGAACAACATATCTAGGCCAAGAATTTTAATGACAAGGGCTTGGAATTTGACTTCTGCATAGTTGATTTTTCACCTACTGAAAAGTTCACAGCTCCTGTTCTTATTGGAAGGAACTGAACTGGTGTTTCTGCAGTGCCTGTGAAAATCATGTCAAGAATATTCAAACAAAATTTTGTGTTATGCACTCTTGCTAGTTTTAAACTATATCACTTTTATCACAATTAGCAGTAAGGCTCTAAATCTTAGCTCCTCCTAGAATCAATTTTTGAGAGGAGTTTCAATATGAAGATTATTCTCAGTTGGGCCCATGTTGCTGTGTGTTATTTCTCAAGTTGCTTCTGATTCTTGCAGAAAGATGATCAGCCAAAGATGGAGAACAGTCTGTATATGTATCTCTACTTTGTGAATTTCATCATCTTTGGATCTTTTTTCACCCTGAATCTCTTTGTTGGCGTAATCATTGACAACTTCAACCAGCAAAAGAAAAAGATAAGTGTATTGGTTGTGCTTTAGAGAACAAGGTCCTACACATGGAATCTAAAACTACAATTGGCATGAACCAGAATATTAATAATTAAATTGCAATAAATAATTTTCTGCTTTCTTTTCCCCTGTAACCTGAACACCTAGATCTTCCCCAAACATTTCACTGCCAATTAAAATTTCACTCCTTTTGGGGTACTCAACATAACAGTTTATTTAAAAAGTGGTCTGCTACAGATCCTCTGAGGACTGATTTGGAGATTCAGCAAGCCCAGCACATGAGAAGCCAGGGAAAGATTTGATCCTGTCCATGCTTTTTGTCTGCATGTCTTTTGAGTGAGCTGAGTTTCACACCAAGACTTCTACTCTTGTGAATGGCTGGTTTATGCCACTGACTTTTCGGACACATGATATGAAAAGAGCCAGTAACAGCAAGGTGTAAAAAAGGAAGGAATGCCCATTTTCAGAAATTTTAGACATTTTAAGTATAATGCTTTTTCTTCTCACCAAATAACAATGACACTTCTTTGTATACTTAGGTGGGGAAGATATCTTTATGACAGAAGAACAGAAAAAATACTACAATGCAATGAAAAAGCTGGGATCCAAGAAGCCTCAAAAACCCATTCCAAGACCCTTGGTAAACTGAATTCTTCACTGAGAAAATGCACTGCAAAAATACAATTTAATTCACTGAAAAGTGCATGTATTTATATATTGCATGTATATTATTCCTGTTATCTTTACATTGATACACGGTGCTCTAAAGTCAGTTCCACACCAAAAAGTTGACTGAATTATTTTACAAGTTAAAAATTTATTAAGTCCTCTTCATAAACATTACTGGCTTTTATATTCACCTTGGAACTGATAAAACTTCAGGATGGAAAGGGATTTTTAATACCATTTTTGTATTCTGCTTTTCTCCAGTTTCTCCAATTTCATTGTTGCTGAGTGACTTTGAGACATAAAAATTGGAAATGTTGGAAACATGTATGGATGGGCACTCCTTATTTTCATAACTGGAGTCAAAAGTATTTTTTTTCCCCCCTCTAGAACAGATACCAAGGTTTTCTTTTCGACATTTTAACATCCCAAATGTTTGATGTTGTCATCATGGGTCTCATCTGCCTCAACATGATCACTATGATGGTGGAAACCTATGAGCAAAGTGAAACGAAGACAAACATCCTCAGCAAAATCAATATACTCTTCGTTACCATCTTTACTGCAGAATGTGTGCTGAAATTGCTGGCTCTGAGGCAGTACTATTTCTCAAATGCCTGGAACATATTTGATTTAGTTGTTGTTATTATGTCACTTGTTGGTAAGTAAAATTCTCTTGAAAATTCTTTACTATATCAATTATTATTCTTTTTAGAGAGGAAAAAAAAGTAGTTAAATTTTTTTTAACTGCAAATAGTCATTGAAATGTAAGTTGTAATACTGTAAAGTCTTAAGGAAAAAATAAGCAACCAGCCTTAAGATTATATTGAATAATATTAAATGAGATTTAAAACAATTCCTTTAGTAAAAGTGTGTCTATATTTTCAATGGTTCTTTAGGGTTTTTTCGTCTCATCTAAAATACAGAATGAATAATCCATCATAGCAGTATCACATTACATGATAATTTCCATTGTCACAGATTTAGCATCAACTAAGAAATATTCAATCCAATCAATTATTGGGTTTTGTCATAGGAGTTTTTGACATATGACTGAAATATATAGAAAAATAGGAATACGTACAGAATAGGAAGACTGGAATTAGATTATAGCCTGTAGAATCCAGTTTCTGTAAACTCAGGCATTGCTGACTGAAAATAAGGGTCCCCACTTTGTAACACCATAGAAAAGATCACCAAAAATGTTTGTTTGTTTGTTTGTTTCTTTGTTTTTAAGGGATTGCAGTGGAGGAATGGGGTAAAGAGCTCTGTTGCAAATTTGAACTTCCTGCCAATTTAACTATTCCCAGGGCTAGTACTGCCCTAGCAACAGGCATTTAGTGGAAGAAGGATATTTCATTTTACTATGACTCATGTTTTGGGTCAGTAAGATTCCAGTAAGACTATGGCTCTTTCTTGAGAAATTAAATTTCTGGATTGTAAATACAGAAAAAATGTATCCAAAACAGCTACACTTATAAAAGTCAAGCCTCTTCTAGTGCTACTAGATGCCATTTATTCCATTCAAACAAAGGAAAAATAACATCCATGTGTAGCCCTGTCCCTGGATGAACCAAAAGCCATTGTAGAGTGGCATGCACAACTTCTATGTTCATCACTCTGTTTGCTTCTACATATCATGCCTATATTATCTAAATGATAACCATGACATTGCATTATATCTTGTTTTCTTAGTTTAGCTTTGTAGTGTCAGTATTTGAAGACAAATGTAGAAGGCAACTTGAATCTGCTGAAATATTCATGCAACCAGAGTCAAAGAAAACCATCAGTCTTCAAATGTCACCTGATACAGATATTTGAAATTGTGCACAAAAAATTCCTTGTCATCTTCAGTGCAACAGGGACTGTTCTCTGATGGCTGAAGAGTGTAGTCCATAATTACTGATTTCAGCAACTATTATTTCAATTCAGCTTCTCCTAAAAGTTGTTCTGGTAGGGGCTAGCAAACACACATCAGATATTTTTGAGCTGTGAATATGTTATCATTAAAGCCTCTTTACTAGTTAAGAAAAAATATTATATTCTAACAAGTTGTTATCCTCTCCTTTTCAGCCTTACTGCTTTCCAGCATTGGCAAAGCCTTTGAACATTTCTTACCACCCACACTGTTCAGAGTCATTCGTTTGGCCCGGATTGGCCGGATCCTGAGACTCATCCGGGCAGCCAAAGGAATTCGAACTCTGCTCTTTGCCTTAATGATGTCCCTACCTGCCCTGTTCAACATTGGCCTCTTGCTGTTTCTGGTCATGTTCATTTATGCCATTTTTGGCATGGCTAACTTTGCCTATGTGAAGATGGAAGATGGCATTGACGACATGTTCAACTTCCAAACCTTTGCTAACAGCATGCTCTGTCTCTTCCAAATCACCACATCAGCTGGCTGGGATGGTCTTCTCAGTCCTATTTTAAACACTGGGCCACCATTCTGTGATCCAAACATAAATGGTACCATCGGTGAATGTGGCAAACCTGCCATAGGTATTATTTATTTTGTAAGTTACATCATTATATCATTTCTCATTGTTGTAAACATGTATATAGCCGTAATTCTGGAGAACTTCAATGCTGCCACTGAGGAAAGTACAGAGCCTTTAGGGGAAGATGACTTTGATATCTTTTATGAAATCTGGGAGAAGTTTGATCCTGAAGCAACCCAGTTTATAACTTTCTCTGCACTTTCAGACTTTGCAGATGCTCTGCCTAAGCCTTTGCGTGTACCAAAACCAAACAAAGTTGAACTCACAGCAATGGACCTGCCTGTGGTCAGTGGGGACAAGATACACTGCTTGGATATCTTGTTTGCTTTCACCAAGAGGGTGTTGGGAGATTCTGAGGACCTGGATACTCTGAAACTACAAATGGAGGAGAAATTCATGGCTGCCAATCCGTCAAAACAATCCTACGAGCCAATATCGACTACGCTCAGCCACAGGCAGGAGGAAGCGTCGGCCACGGTGATCCAGCGAGCCTACAGGAGTCACCTGCTCCAGCGCTCCCTCAGACAGGCTTCCCACCTGTACCAGCGCAGAACTTGCAGCTCTGACACTCTGGGAGATGCTGCTCCAGAAAACAAAGGACTCATTGCATCTATGCTGCGTGCATATTATGGTAGGAGTCCTAACAGGTCTGAAACTTTGTCCTCAGTGTCCATCCCTCCATCGTATGACAGCGTCACAAGAGAGAGTAGTGGCAATCTTGTGGTTGAAAATGGAGAAATAACGGGCAATCAACCATCTCCAGACATTAAGTAGTTAATTGGTGACAAAGCTGTTAAGAATATTTTTTAAATTTTCACAGAAGATATTGTAAATACATGTCAGTGGAGGCAGCCTCCCTATGAAACCAAGTCTGCTGATGGTGATCAGTTAATTATGGCAGCTGAGAATCGTGGCCTTTGGCTCTGCTGTGTTCAGTTTTCTTCAATATTTACCTATGCAGAGAAAGGTTTTGGGTCTGTTTGATCAATGGCATCTTTCTGCAAAGCAGGTCCCACAGTGCCTGGGTGCTGTGACATGTTCACAGCAGTGAAAGGCAACCTCAGATGATACTTCCCCTGTACAGGAAGCAGAGAAAAGTCCAAGCACCGGTGGATCTACTGGAGAACAGGAAATTAATGTTAATATGAGTATAAATTGAGGAATGGAAAGGAGATAAAATTTACTCAATTCCTAACTGACTCTATCATTATAAACCTGTTTAACAAATCTCTGATGATTTTTTAAATCCTTTATTTTTTATGTTTGGGTACAGATGTGCCACAAACAGAGACCCTGCATGATCCACAGATATTCCACAATGTAGTGGACTTCTTCCCATGTGATCAATTTACAGAATAAACCATGGCATGTACATTATCATAGTTGTGTTACTGAAGTTTAATGAAATAATAAATACAAGTATTACAGAAGTCATACTGAGCAGAGAAAAACCTTGTTTTATGTTTTGCCTGGAAGGTTTGTTTCTTTTTTTTGACCTGTTTTCCTCTGGCAGTGAGGTGAAGGCAGCTGTGCCATCAGTCACCCCGTAAAAATTTATTTATTGCAAACTTTCCTCAAACTTCTCCTAATGGTTGAGTTTTGTGTTCAAATTCAGTCTTGATAATTTGTTAGAGAAGAGATACACAAATAACACTGGCTGGAAATTGGTAATATCACCTCAGGCACTCCCTTAGACATCAGAAACCAAGGCTGGGGAGCTCCACAAGGTACCCACCAGAAGTGTCTGTGGTTGTAGTGATGAACATCATCTACGGCCCTGGATGTGTCCCTTGGGATAGGAGCCTTTCTCCCCCCTGCCTGTGTTTCTCTGATGGGAGAACCAGCCTTCTCTCTCCTACACAGGTTAGAAGAAACTATATTATGAGTAATGTAGACAATTAGGAAATCTGGGTTGAAGTACTTGGATCTGGGGTTAATGAAAGACTGAGGATGTAATCACAAATTCTACTTCTCATGGAACCACGTGTGCAGATGGGCTCTCATGGTTTCCCATCTCACCACATTTTCCTTATGAAGTCCTTTTTCTTCATATCCTTATAGCTCAGGCTTCTCAGATAAACACATGTCCAAACACTACTTAATCTTTTATCTTTTGTATATTTACTTTGGAGGTACGTTCAGCTGATGCACCTTGCTGTCTAAGGACTGTTGTGTTTTTCCCTTTGTCTCGTACAAGATGTAGTCACAAATTACCCCTGACATTTTAATTTCTTACATACACTAACATTTTTAAGATGTTTTTTATTTTTCTTAGTTGCAAGGCTGCAGCTCTGTGATCACTGTTGGGTTTGGCAGGTTCTGGCAAGGCTCGAGTGAGATTTTTCCCTCCACACTGATTTCAGCCAGAGGAGAGAACAGTGATTGAGTGGGTCCTGCTGTGCACTTGTTTGCGGCCTGCAGCAAGTTTTCTTCTCTCCTGAATGCCCCTTCTCTCTGGTAGCAGTTATATTCTCATGTCTTGGGTTGCTTTCCTCTCCTGTGTTTTCCATCTCTTCAGACTGTGAGCTTTTTGGACAGAAATTCTCTTTTACTGTGGATGGTAGATTACACCTGATAACGAGACTCTGTTTTCAGTTAATATTGTCTGAATACTGATGCAAATAAATAATATTTATAGTACCTTTTATTTTCATCTATGGTATTCCTTTAACTTCTCCCTACCCATTCCTAAAATGTAGCACCTTTAATTAGTTTTGACTAATACTCCCTCAGATTTTAAGGTAGGTGTACAATGAATCTGTGTTATACCAGAAAAGTCAACAGCTCTGTGCCTTTAGAACCCAAGGGCTCTATTCCTTCAAATAAAAAAATATATCTAACAACTATAAAAGAATTAATGAAATTAAATGGGTTTATTTGGCTAAAATTATTTTTTAACCACTTTCACAGCATATGAACAAGCACAGCTGAGAAGCTGACTACATGGCACTGGTGGGATGGTGTTCCCCAGCTCCAGCCTGCTCAGTGTCAGCTTCCCAAGATGTGCAGGATGCATTGAGGAGCAGTAATGAGCCACATGCATCATTCTCATGGATTTGGGGGTGCACAGAACAGCCCTGGTATCACATCCTCCCAGGAGATTGTGTTAAACACATCCATGCCTAAATGTGATGCCACTCATCTCTGCCAGTTTGTGTGCCAGGAAAAATTTTTTTTACTGTCAGAGAAGTTAATTGTTGGTCAGATTTACACAAGCATTACTGATTTTTTCTCTGGAAAGGCCACCCTGGAACAGAGCCAGAGCTCCACCAGTGCAGGAGATCAGATGCTAAATTTCATTTGGTACCCTAAGGGAATTGTTGGTTGGTGTAAGAAATTATAAATACCCTCAAAAAACACTTGGATTTTACCTTCTGCAGAAACTCTGAGTAAAGGTGATACTCTTTAAGGGAAGACAGCTGTCATGTTCTTTAATCACAGAATCAAAGAATGGGTTGGGCTGGAAGGGACCTTAAAGACCACTCAGTTCCACCCCCTGCCACGGGCAGGGACAACTTCCACGACCCCAGGGTGCTCCAAGCCCCATCCAACCTGGTCTTGAACACTTCCAGGGATCCAGGGAAAGCCACAGCTTCTCTGGACAGCCTTTGTCAGGGCCTATCCTTACAGCAAAAATATCTTATGCCAAAGATGAACCTACCCTCTTTCAGTCTAAAACCCTGATGAAAAGTCTCCCTCCATCTTTCTTATTAACCCTCTTTATGTAATGGAAGGCCACAATAAAATCTTCCAAGCCACAAGGAAGTCCCAACCATTTGGGAGATAAAATTATAAATGTAAGCGCAGCAGTAGAAAATGTGCTCTTATAAATAAATAATCTTCCAAATCCTTCTGCTTCTCCTCTGAGCCTCTCAATTTTGGATCCTACTGATGTCCTTACAAACATCGTGCTTTCCTGTGGTGGCTGTGTAACACACAGCCTTATTTCCAGATGGATTGCTTTCCTTTTTTTTGGTCATTCAGAGCAATATTTAGTGTGATTTTAGTTATTATTTAATCCTGGCTGCATTAATAGCCTGGTCTTTTCAACACTTACATCTTCTATAAACTATATATCTTACATTATACATATATTATTATACTTAAAATCTTACCCCAAATGATTGCATTTTTAAAGAGGTTATTAATACAGACAAAAGGAAAAAAAAAAAAAATTGAGGCTTGAGAGCTTTTCCCTCTGACAGCCCATGAGAAACACAAGCTCAACAACATAACGTATCAGTTTGTTCCTTTGACAGTGATGTGGAACAATGAATATATGAATGAATGACATGAGAATTCCAGAACATCTGTACCTCTCTGTAGTGAGCTTCATTTTACCACCTAAAGCACACACATTTTTCATAGGAAATCAAAGTAATGGAAAATCCTTGAATAATTACAAACCAGTCAAAAATGTTAACGGGGATGGAAAAAAAAAAAAGAAACTAATGAAAAAAAAAGCTATTTTCTTCAGTAATATTTTCTTCAGGACATGTTCCATAAGCTAAACTGACTTTACCATTGAGACTCTCATTAATTGAACCACGTGAATAATTTAGTTCAGTGTTTCTCAACTCTTGGGCAAATTGATGGAGCAGCATGAAATTCTATTTGTGCTTGAAAGAAAGGCAACATCTTTTCCTCCCATTCACCAGAGATCTTTGCAATCCAACAGCTGTGAATTAAAACTCGATCATGTGCTGGGAAACAGTACTAGGATGAAAAATGATGTGTGATATGAGAAGACATCCAAGCTTAGTGTTTTCAGCCTGGAAATAACAGCTGAGATGATGCATTGTAACTCTCAGTAAATAAAGCAGGTGGGAAAACATGAGGAAGGGAGAAAAATGTTTAAAAGAAAAACAGAATAGTCAGGGGAAAATTAACTTTTAAATTAGAGGTGGCTTCTGTTCTTTGGAGGATGGATTCACAAAACTGTTTTTAGCAGGAGCAGAGAAGCCAGTTTGACAGGCAGGTAAATGATTGCACAGGTTTCAGGGGGTTATGTGCCACAGCACTTTTGAGGGGATCTGTGATCCATCAGGCCCCTTAGTTCCTGCTCAAAACCGTTTGAATTTAATAAAATGAAGACTGGCATCTACACCTGGACAGGGAAACTTGTTGAATGCTTCCTCCTAGTGGTTTTCGATCAAAATGACATTTTCAAAGTCAAAAAAAATTAAAAAATAGTGGGGCACGTGTCTCAAGTAAAGTGAAACCTGAACAGATAAATAATTGTTAATACTGTAAAAGTATTACAGTATTAGCAGGAAGTATTAACAGGAAGCAGAGAGCTTAGAGGGAGGGGGAGGAGGGTGGTTCTAAAAGAAAACTGCAGTTTAAAGTTCAGAAAACAAAATGAGTGAGAATTTCCAGTGTAAAAGAGAGTTAGACCATGAATAGGAGGCTGAAACAGTAATAAGTAAATCATTGGCTATATAAGAAAGAAGAAGAAAAAATAAAGAAGATGTGAGTTTTGTTTAAAATGGGGCAGAGATGAGGGTTTGGATAGCTTTAAACCTTATCTCTCTACATATATTATAATAATCAGGTAAAAAATCTTAAATTTTAGTCAATATGGGGTCCTCTTTTCCTTGGCAAACAAGGACTGTTTGAATGGAAATGTGAGTAAATCCATGGATGGACACAGAAGGGAATTAAAACAATGGAGCTGGGGTCCAGAATAACCCCTTTGCAAAAATCCTGTTGAGAGCTGGCACATGAACCTGCTGATCTCTCTCAAAGGATTTTGTGAGAGCCTGTAAAATCAG